CAGATTTCAAAAGTTGCAGAGAAAAAATTAGAGGAAGAAAACTTTATTGAAAAGACATCCATAGCAGAAGAGGCCACTCCTGGTCCTGGTCCTGGTCCTGGCTTAGAAGCGTACTTTAAAATTAAAATTCAAACGTTTATCGCCAAGGAAGCGATGAAAGCGAAGATGAAGAGAGAAAACTTCAAAAAAACGATTGAAAAGCTTCTCAAGAAGCCTATTATTGATGAGCCAGTTGATAATTTGCCCAAAGAAGAGAGGATGAAGAGAGAAAAGCGGCTCAAGAGGCCTGTCACGGAAGAAAAACCCAAGAACAAGAAGAGATATGAGAGTGAAGAGAGCGAAGATCAAGAAAAACCCAATCCAATCAAGAAGAAGAAGATGAGTAGTAATACGGGAATTGACAATGTTTCATATCCACCACCAGAACTTCCTTCAGAATTTAAGGAAAAAATCAACAACTTGAATGGTTCTAAATTGAAGTTGTTGATACAGAAGAAGGTGACCGCGACCGATGTAAGTCATACTCACAATCGTATATCAATGCCTTTGAATGGCATCAAAGTAGATTTCCTAAGTGATGAAGAGAAGAAGCATCTAGACTCGCATACTGGAACGAATGTGGCAGAGATACCAGCGAAGCTAATCCAACCTGATTTGTGCAAAGAATGCGATGTAACATTCAAGAAGTGGGATATGAAGAAAGAAAAAGGCAAAACTCAGTACTCAATCTGCTAAAAAATTGTAAAGAGGAGAAATTGAGAATTTTTTCTTGCAGAGAATATTTTATTATGTATTTATCGTATTTGGTAAAAAAAAAATTATAGGACAAATTTTCTTATTTTCAATAATGAAGGAAAGAGGAAGAGATTTTCTCAATTACAAAATAGAGAGACTCCTTCCCAATTACAATAACATTAAGCTTGTGAAAAAAACTCAGTAGTCAGTCCACTAAAAATCTGTTAATCTAACAAAAACATACAACACCAAACACATCTATCCCTTTTAACAAGTGAACTTCCAACCAATGCTTCAATTACATTTAAACATCCCTTTCATTCACATTTTTGGCAGCAATGGCATCCCTTCCTTGTAATCTCTTATGCAGCAATGGCAGCAAAGTTGCTTGTCAAAATTAAAGGAATAGTCATCACGCATCATGCATCATGCAAATGAGATATGGAATTTATATCAAATTCAAGCAAAACCTATCATGTTAAAAATTAAAACTTTTCTTTACAAACTGATGTAAAGCCTATCATGTCAGTTTATTGAGTTACATTTCACTTTATTAACTTTTTTTTTTTTTAATTATTAATGAATGTCATCTCAATTTGTTAACTATATATATCTAAAACAATTTTATCAAAAAGTTCACTACTACAACCAATAATGAAGTAATAAAATTCAACTAGTCTTTTCATCTATAATCTTTTAAGGAAATAAAAAAAACCATTGTACATACATAAAGCTTCATTACATAAATGCAGGGGGAAAAAAAAAAAAAACACCACTTCAATTAAAATTTTGCCTTTCCCTAGAAACATTGTTTGAAATTCTTTCTTTGCACTTGATCAAACTTCCAAAATATCATTCTTTGAGCACTAGCTGCCTTCAAAGTATTGCTTTGTGTGAGTCTCGCAACCCGCATGTACAGCTCCCATCTTACTTTTGTAGCTTCTCTTTGTGACTAGCATTTTTTTAAACAACATATTAAAAACATTATACAAATTAAGCCTTTGTTAAGAGAACAATAAATGTAAATCATAATATTAACAAATAAAGGCATCCAAATAAATAAATGAATTGTGTCAATATTTACCTGACTAAATTGGTTTACAACATCGACACTTTGCAACATAGTTGTAAAAGGAATATTTGCAAAGTCCATATCCTACGTATAGAAATAGTTCATACTTTATATTAATTATGACCATAATTTTAAGTATAAATACTAGATATTTTAATTTTGTGGATCAATATAAATATTCAATGCCTAAGTATGCATGGTCCATGGTGGGTAAGATTGACCATGTATGTTGGCATCTGCTGGTCTTACATAAGGGGACCCATTTGGTGGTTGGAAGATTGTTATATCATATGTGACAGCAAGTGAGGCATGTGATGGTCCTTGCTTTACTTGTTTTGATTTTACTGAGTATGTGCATAAATCACAAATAACTTACAACATAAGAACTTTATTAAAAAAATGCTATTATGGATGAGAATGTAACATTTATTGAGCAAGTAAATAGTTTCTCATGCTTGAATAAAAAAAATAAAAAAAGGGAAAATATTCTCACGCGAAGTTGATGCATCCTTGGACGGTTTTGTCTTGCGCTTTTCAAAATGCCCTTTAAGTCTAGTGTTTCGTACACCTTTCAATCTCGTATGTGGAGGATCCAACACTGATATGTTAGTGGTATCACACTGTATGGCTTGATCTTCTTCAACATGCACATCTATATCCAATTTCAACCTTGCAAACCCTCTTTCAATTTTTTGCATCAAGTTCTACAAGTATCTTCTGGCAAATGTTCTTAAGGCTATCATTCCCTTGACTCTTGTATACAGTTGTATTAGCTATACGTACCATACTATTACGCCATATGATCTCAGCCTCTTTACCATTTGCAGTGGAATTGGTACCTTGTTCATAAGCCATAATCCCTTTCTTGGCATCTTTTGTCCAACGTTTCAAAATATATTGACTTGGGATTGCAATCAAATTTTTAATACTAAAAACCCTCAATGCATGACAACAAAGAACTCCTAATGATTCAAACTTCTTACAAGAATAAGAAATGTTGTTAGTGAGATGATCAAAGTGAACAATACATACCCTTTCACTATTTTCTTCTTTCAACTTGCAGACATCAACTGTATCTTGACAATCAACTTGCTTCCACACCATTACAAGACTATTGAGAAATTCATTTTCAAATAATTTAAATATCTTACAGGTGTAAACTTGAGTTGCATGACCCAAAATACCACTTTTTTTTTACTGCTTTTAGAGGGGCACCTTGCTTGCATCGAAAATCTTCATCCAACTCTAAAGAACGCATACCTGCTACTAAATTTTCATATTCAATAACGAAGTTAGTGAGGCTAGTTGTTTTACCTGCTATGTTATTCAAAACATTATTTGTACTTTCACTCCTTGAGGAAGCTTTAAATTCAATAGTGAAAAACTAAACTTTTGTATTATTTTATCGAAAGTTTGTTGAAATTCTAGTGTAGAATCATAATATTTTGGCATTTGTTGAGAAGGTACTTGAACTCTGTGTTAGTATTTAATTCCCCCAAATGAGAATGAGCATTTTTCGAAATATGCCACAAACATAGTCGATGATATGTATTTGGAAATACTGCCTCAATAGCATTAGGCATGGTTTGATCTTGGTCAGTAAAAATTATAACTGGAGACCAATTCCCCTTTGATTCTAAAAATGATATAAACAACCATATAAATAAATCAGTGGTTTCATCCAAAAGGAAAGTACAACCAAACATCACATTTTGCCATTGGTGGTTAACACCAACAAATGGAGAACAAATCAAATTATACTTATTGGTGCGATAGGTGGTATCGAAAACAACCACATCTCCAAAGCAATCATAATCAACCCTTGATCTCCCATCTCTCAAGAAAAAATTAGTCATGCATTTTTCTTGATCTACTTGAACTGTGAAAAAGAACATGGGATCTTATGTATGTTTCTGCTTAAAATGATTCAATAGGCTTTGAGCATCTCCAACGCTAATCATCGTTATCTTTTGCTTGTTCACATAATTATAACAATCGCTTTTGGTAAAACCCACATTCTCACTGCCTCCAACTTCTTCTTTTAGATATGAATAAGCATTCTTTGTGCTTATACCCACATTTACCATAAAATGAATCACACCTGCCTTCGGTTTTGAAATGTGACGAGCAGATCTTATCAAATGTCGCTCTAATTATAATGCAAGTTCATGATTATGTTCAGGATTGAAGGCAGTAACCCTTCAAATTCCATCTTCAACAATTAAACGAACAAATGCTTTGCAACCAGTTCTAGTCTCCAGCTTATTCAATTTTTTCTCTTCACAAGGGTCTTCATCTACTTTAAAACCCTCTTTAGAACATACAAATTCGCGTTGCTTTATGTTCTTTGATCCACTATAATATATTGGCTTTCCTTTCTGAATACTAAAACCCATTCATAATGCATAAATATTGTATAAAGCATATGCTTCTTCTTTAGTACATACCACCTTATCTAACAAATTGTCATCACTATTTTCTTGCCTTGCAACAAACATGCAGTTACGTTCACCTCTTTCAGCATCATCAGAAGTGTTAATTTCTGCAATAATTCATGTATTAAATGTTATAAATTACAATCGTATTTTTATGACAACTATAAAAAATGAGTATGGTTTGCCTTATTTAAGGCCTAAATCATGAGCAATTTTTTCATGTTGGGAGAGAATGGCCAAGATGGTGCCTTTTACAATTTTGATTGATAAGGTATCATTAATTTATATTGATATTTGACAAGACAACATAAAAAATTAATAGTTATGATGAGTGGGGAGTAATATTGTTACGTGATACTCTCTTCACACTAATTTTTTTTTTTAAAAAAATTACACTCAATTGCAAAATTCTTGTAAGTTAGACACAAATAATATTACTGAAAACTAAAATTATATTAATATAATATAAGTTTTTCCAAACTATCTAAAGTTCTTCTATATTTTTTTATTTTTATTTTTATTTTTATATTTTAGTCAATTTTTTGTTTAGTTTTAGATACATCAAGATTAGATACATCTAAAAAGTAAAAAAAAAAAAAAAATTAACTAAAATATAAAAAAAGAACTTTACTAAATACAAACGAAACCCAAACAAAAATACACGCATAATTTTGTTCGGATTTTTATTTATTTTTAATAATTTTTTTATACATTTTAATCAATTTATTTTATTTTATAAATACATCTAGAATGTATTTAAAAAATACAAAAAAAAAATGATAATCATATAAAAAAATTCATTAAAAACAATAAAAAAAAAATCACTTTGAAAATAGAATTTGGAAAATCAAACAAACGAAACATAAATATCATCATATCAATATAAGCCATCTTAGAACTATCTAAATAATTATTGAAACTCATATCACAAACTATGCCATAAATCATGATTATTTTTTTTAAAATTAATAAAATATACCTTCTTTTGGTTTGAAAACATTCATCTTTCACCACTTTTATTTTTTTGGGAACATATCTTTCATCACTTTGTCATACAGAATAGGACAGGACTACGGCCTTTCTCCTCTTTCTTGATTGAAAAATGCTTGGGAGCACTAATTAGTGCTCCCACTAATTAGGTGGCAGTGGGTCTCGTCATTAATGATGTGATATTTTGATCTTGGAGTTATATATTTTTTTTTTACTTTTTTAATACATTAGTGCTATTAGTGGTGATGTTTTTAGTGGGATGAATCATTGTTGTTTTTGATTTTTCGGCAATGATGAATTTGCAGTATGGAACTAGGATTTTAGGGTTTGCCTTTTGTTTTATTTTTTTATTATTAAGGGTTTGTTTGGGATAAATTAAAAAGTTAAAAAATTATTTTAAAAGTTAAAAAAATTCATACTATTTGGAAAAAAACTGGTGGAGGAATCCTAGAGGGGAAAATAATAACTACCTAAAAGTCAAAAAGTTAAAAGTCAAAAAATTA